CAACATTGCTCAGTGGTATTAAAAAGAACTGCAGAAAAGAAATAACCTGGACGGCAGAAACAAGAAACGCCTTCCAGATCTTAAAAGATGCACTTATTCATGCCACAAACTTAACTCACCCATCCGAAAAGGCTGAAATATCGCTAACAACTGATGCTTCCGATACTGCCATTGGAGCCGTTTTACATCAGATTGTGAATAATGCAAAAACAACCCTTAAGTTTCTTTTCCCGAAATTTGACATCAGCACAACAAAAAATATAGTGCCTACGACAGAGAACTCTTAGCCATCTATACAGCAGTAAAACATTTCAAATACATCTTAGAAGGGCGAACTTTTGCAATATACACGGATCACAAACCACTAACATTTGCCTTCCAACAAAATTTGGAAAAAGCTTCGCCACGACAAGCTAGACAACTGTCATATATTGGCCAGTTCTCAACCGATATCCGATTCATACAAGGGCATGAAAATACCGTCGCTGACGCTCTCTCTCGCATAGACACCATTTCTGTACCATCTGCAATAGACTTACAAACTATAGTAGACTGTCAAGAAGATGACGACTTGGAGATACTAAAAAACAACCCAAACTTAAAAATCCTACAGATCCCTATACCGGACAGCGACAAGAAAATTTACTGTGATACTTCTACAAATTATAATCGACCATACATCCCTGCAAAGTTTCGGCAGAAAATATTTTCTTCAATCCATAATTTATCTCATCCTGGAATAAGATCCACGATAAAATTGATAACACGACGTTTCATATGGCCCAATATGAATAAAGACTGCCAACTATGGACTAGAGCATGTTTATCTTGCCAAAGATCTAAAGTTCACAGACATACACATTCATCTTTGGGAGAATTCAAAGTACCTCCACACAGATTCCAGCATTTAAACATAGATCTGGTGGGTCCGCTACCTCCTTGCAAAGGATTCAAATATCTTCTAACCATCATCGATCGTTATACACGATGGATCGAAGCGGTACCGTTAGAAGATCAATCAGCAGAATCTATTGCTAAAGCTTTGATTTATACTTGGTTTTCACGCTTTGGAATTCCGAATCGCATAACATCTGACCAAGGTCGGCAATTTGATAGCCAACTTTTTCAAGCTTTAGGAAAATATCTTGGTTTTCATACAAACACTACAACTGCGTACCATCCACAGGCAAATGGCCTGATCGAAAGACAACACCGAACTTTAAAAGCAAGTCTCAAATGTCATCTACTCGAATCAAAATCATGGCTGGAAGCATTGCCTTTCGTTCTTTTAGGCATAAGATCTGCCATCAAGGAAGACTTAGGTTGCTCATCCGCAGAACTTGTATACGGAACTCCTTTAGCATTACCTGGTGAATTCTTTTCAACAGTACCTCATATGAAACAGTCTGAATTTTCTCAAAACCTTCAGAAAATAATAAGAGCTATGAAGCCAAGTTCTACCACCACCCATGGAAATAGAACAGTCTTTGTTTCTAAACATCTTTCCAACTGTTCTCACGTATTCCTATACAACAACATTAATAATTCGTCGCTACAGCCTGTCTATCTTGGACCGTATCCTGTAAGAGCAAGAAAGGATAAGTACTTCGATATTGAAATCCAAGGAAAAGTTAAAAGAGTTTCAATAGACAGACTAAAGCCATGTTTCCTAGTGCAAGATTCTGATATTTCTTTTCAAAACTCCCATTCCAAGAAAGCGGAACTTGGGGAAACACCTGCACTCAAGAACACTGAAGAAAGGTTCAGAAACTCATCGTAAAACCAAGACTACTAGAACCGGCAGACATGTGAGGTTTCCCAGTCACTTTAAAGACTATCTTCCATAATAATCGCTATCACTAGGAAGGGGTTGTGTAGTGTCGCTTCAGTTCCGTTAAGTTTCTAATGAAATTTAGTTAAACCGGAATGGCAACACCTTCTAGTCTCCGCGAAGAACGAAGTAAACAACTTCGAGTTTTTGTCACGCGATGCTACGTGCATGTAAAATGTAAATAAATCTTATGAATAAGAATGTATAACATCGTAAGTAATAAAATATTGGTTCCATAAGAATCAGAGAAGTGTTATTTTTCTATATTTGCACACCAGACACTTCAGACCAAGATAATTTGAAGCCTAAACATCTATTGATAAATTTAAGGAGACTAGAAGATACTTTAATTACATATTTTAAAGGGAAAAAATAAGTGCAAGTTTTCTATTTAAATGGAGCGATCCTGCACCTGGTCTTTTTCTATTTGTGCTATCTTCATAATTATTATTCATGACAGGAATTGATACATTATTTATTTTTTCGATGTTTCTGAAAAACTTTTTGCAATACATACACTTATTTTATTAACATTTAATTCCCTATGTATTGCCTCATTTCTTATAAACCATTGGAAATTTGCCATTTGTCTAAGTGTGACATTTTGTATTTGCTGTATTTTTAACATTCGAGTATCACATATATAGCCCCAGACAGGACGCATGTTATGATGTTTATGTTATGATGGGACGCAAAATGGATTTATACACCAAAACTTTATTGTCTATAAATAAACCAGAATTTCTAGAAATTAAGGGGCTGAGTAAAGCTTTAGTACCCCGAAATTTATTTAGAATATATGTAACGTGTGGGGGGGCCAAGTGAGTTTATGGTCTAAAATAACACCAAGGACTTGCTTGGTCCAGGGGATATTTGGTTATACATTTTCAGAGTTATATTCAAGTCAATATTGATTTTTTGAGTGAAATACACAGCTTCTGATTTTTCCATGTTGGTTTTTTGAGTGAAATACACAGCTTCTGATTTTTCCATTTTGGTTTTTATTTTCCACTTCAACATCCAGGACTTTAGTGCCTGGATGCGTTCTTGTAATGCTTGTACAACTGCGGCCATTGACGCGTTTTGGTGGAGGACTGCAATGTCATCTGCGTATAATGCTAGCGTAGTGGAGGTTGTGTTGAATGTAGTTCGTATAAATTGAAAAAAAGGTGGGTGAGAGTAAGCTCCCTTGAGGCAAGCCTGCAAGGGTTTCTCTGCGTGTGGAGTAAGCTTGTTTATAACGAACGACAAAGTATGTATCGTACAGATAGGAATTAATGAAGTTTATGATGTAATCTGGAAAACCCAGAGTTAATAACTTAAATGTGAGACCCTGTAGCCATACACAGTCGAAAGCTTTCGAAATATCAAGAAAGAGGGCACTAGTTACACGTTTATTTTTATTATTGCTGTTGAGCTGACTTTAATGGTTTAAGTGCGAAGAAGATGATATTTAATAAATATAGGTAACACACAAAACGTTAAAAAAAGCGCCCCTTTGGGCGTAGTGTAAAATCTGAAAGCTTTCAGAATTTTATATTTTTTTTTCCACTTTTTATTCAAGCCCGTTCATCTGTCTGCTATGGATTAATAAACTAAGCTGTTTAAAAGCAGTAGATTCAAGTCTTAGTATTATTTTTTACTTTTTAATCTGTTTTATTTATATAAAAATGCGTTTAATTCGTGATAATCTAATTAAAAACTTTAAATATTTTATATATGTACGTTACTTTTTTTTTTTTTTCTTTTCACTTTTTAAGTGGTCAGAAGATATGTAACATGCCCATTTTAGTCTAAATGTATATTCAGGAGGTATCCTATTACATGTTTCGCTATTCCACCTGGGCCGTCTCTATTGATAATCTGTACTTATAAGCCATGCTAAACTCCGAAAGCGCTCTTTTGGTCGACCTTTAAAATATAAACGCTTAGCTTTATTATTCTAAAGGGGCAATTCGCCCTGAACGACTATTAATTCCGTTTTGGCATTTTACGTTGGTTCACTATAAATGTCGGTTCATTTTTCAAATTGTTGCCGCCAAATATTATAGACCTGTGTTAAGTTTAAAGAAATTAAATAATTGCATAAATATATGTTTCTCACATTGGGATAAACCAACGGAACCTTGAGCCATCAAATTTTGAATAACGTAATCTTCCACCGAATATGGGCATCTGGAAGCCCTAATTTGGAATCTGAAATTTGTTTCATTATCGATTACATATTTTGTGACACTTTAACGAATTTTTGATTAGAAAACTCAACGATTTCAAAACGAACAATGGCAACACTGTGCGAGGGGGAAACATTTTTAATTTCAGCGCGCGAGATTTTGTATAGGAAATTCTAAAGATATGCTCATTTGAAAATTATTTTGAGATATTGCTGTTGAGTTGAATTTTAGAACATGATACTTAATAAACAAAGGTAACACACAAAACGTTCAAAAAAGTCCCTTTGGGCGTAATATAAAAAATCCGAAAACTTTCAGAAATTTTTTATTATTATATATATATATATATATATATATATATATATATTTGTATTGAATTTCAAATGTTAATTAGCAAGTTAGCAATAAAGCATTTTGATGAGAACCATGACTACAAAATAATAAGATTTTTTTATTCAGTATAATTAATATTTATATATAATTTATAAAAATTCATAACTCATAAATCTGTAAAGAATAAAAATCTCTCTGTCGGGAAAACTTTCATGATTTTGCTGCATAAATAATAAAGACATAGTTAGGTTTTGCTGCGGGAGCTTAATAATGAGGAGTTAAGGAAAACAGAAGTAAAATTTAATATTAAGTACGTAAAAGCAGGTTAAATAGAATGCATTGTAAGAATTCAAACTTCGCCAAGCAAAATTAATGTTCTTTTGAAAACGATTAAACTGCTGTTGCCACAAATTGAATTTTAAACATCGGAATATTTCCCTATTGTATATATATTTATTGCATCAACATTTAATATCGTTATATGATTATTACTGAATGAAATGATGCTGTCTGTCTCTAATTTCTTCAATAAAAACAGAAAATAACCGGAAGTTGTTTTGTAATTTGAAGTTGTTATAATAAACTTTCAATCTTTGATTACTAAACTAGAAGATGTTTTTGTACAATATGATGCATTCACATAATAAGGTGATAATTTGCAGAGTGGTAAACCTAGCGATTATCCTACAAATTTCCGCATGATTCACCACTTTTATGATGTGAACATTAAAGATCCTGCCTTGATGGAGGCCAAAAGTTTTGATATTAGTAGGTGTTTTCAAGAGAATGAGAAAAGACGCCTCCAATTCGAAGTTGATTGTAAGTATCAAAAATTATTTTAAAAAATCAGAATATTCTGGTTATTTGTTGTAATATTTGTTACCTTCGAAATCTGCTTTTTTTAATTTTTAATTTAAATATATTTTTAATGTAATATACGAGTGTGCAGCAACCGTCCTGGCTGATAATAATCAGCTTCATGGTTATTGCAGCACACCCAACACAGACAAAGAAAAATACAATTAAAAACAATTAAAAGAATAAAATGCAGATTAAAACAGAAATACAGTTAAAAACATCAAACCTTAATTCCCAGTATTGTTCTATTGCCATATATAAAGTTCATTAAATCCTTTGCAAATCTAAACTCTTTATTGCGGAAGTAGAATTCCTTTATGTTACCATGTTTTTCCGTAACATGTCACAATAATACACAATCTTCGACAAAATTTTGTGCATTGCTTTCAGCACTATAAACACTACTGTTTTGCAAATTAAATCTTTTCATGTACGCCTGGAAGTGCCTGTGTCCAGTAATTATTTGATTGTAATAAAAATCACATATCATTCTCATATTTTTAGAAACTTCAAAGTTCATCAATTTTCCCAAAATGCTCCATTCTTCTTTCCAGTAATCATAATAGAAATTCAGTAATCATAATAGAAATCCTTGATTTTTACCAAAAGAATTCTTTTTTATGCTTGAATATCGAACGCATCCCCGACATTACCGATAGCAGCCTCTTTGGCCAGCATGTCGCCCCTCTCATTGCCCTCTCGTTTACCATTATGGGCTTTCGCCCAGTTCATTTTCACTTCATGTATTTTCTCAACTTTTACAAAGAGATTTTTTTTGTATATGAGACCAAAATATTAGTACCATTAACATCTACTAGTGATTCAAAACTAGATAATATATCCATATATATATATTAATATATGTTTTACAGTCAGGTTTTTCATCAATCCACTTAAGAGCAAATATGATAATATTATATATTTTAATGTCTCAGTTTACTGAGTTTCATATGATAGTTTATGAATCTGTAACGGTTTTATTATGCTGCTTTTTTAGCACGGAGTACTAAAAATATTATATCATGAAGTCAAACCTCGAGCAGTCTTACTCAGTTATTACGAAGGGTTAGTCTCAATAAAATATATTCTGTCTTTAACGCTTTAAAAAAAATGAAACACGTTACATTTATTGGCAGGTGTTCGTTAGTTAACATTTGTATTTTACCATTTCTCTTTATGTTTTAGAGCACCTATACTTGTATTTTTCATCTGACAATATACATTAGTATACAAAACGTAAGTAATAAATTCATTTTTCAATGTACAACTATGAAATAGTTGAAAAGGGCCATTATCGTCACCGGATTCCTAAATGAATGATTCAGAAATGCACATTCATGTATACATATATTTCTATACATACTTTTATACAGTCCGGATAACAGAAAAGTATTAATAGGGATTTTTCAATAGGGATCAATAGGTAAATTATCAATAGGGATCAGTACAATGAAAAGCCAACTCAGTAGAAAGGCGATTCATACTCAAATATCACCATGACATCAGAGGGTACATCAATGCACGCAAAATGCACGGAGTCAGCATGCATAGAGCAACGCAATTTAAAACCAAGAAAGAATGGTGTGTTTCCAGGTGTTGTTCTACAAATAACAAGGGGATTGTACGTGTAGTATGACTAGAAGTAAAAAACAGGGTACCTTTTGCACGTGGTAGAATGATTGGCAAGCTTAAGGAGGGGCGTAGTTAATTTGGGGAACCTTCCATATGACAGGTATAGCTGTAAGAGAGATTGGTGGTGCTTGGTCAAGGGAAATAAGAAGACTGATGACCAATACACTGTCCTGCAAGCAAAAAGAGATCGAAATCAGACAGTGGACAAAACTGCTCAGCAGTTGCGCACGACACTGAAGGACAGGTACCCCACTGCAGCCAGACGACTTTGTAAAGGTGGCTTATTCGTCCACCTATCCAGAACGCTGCCTACCATTGAAAGGAACCCCTAGGAGGCTCCATTTGCAGTGGTTTAGAGAACACAAAGACTGGATACCTCCTCAATGCAGTTACGTTCTCTTTATCGGTGAGAGCGGTTTCAGTCTGACAACTATTCTTGATAATGAGAGAGATAGAGATATGCTTTCATCCCACTAACATCAGAAAAAGAGACTGATGGGTTGGTCCTGGCGTGCTTGTATGGGAGGCATTATGATGAACATACCAGTGGAGAGAGATTCACTTACCTAAGATCATTACTGGGATTAAATTATTCTCTCCTCGTGCGTCTTTTCTGGGGTGCCATTAATCTCGACTGTGTTTTTATGGAGGGCAATGCCCGGCCACACAGGATTCATGCTATTGCGGAGCTCCTGGAAAGTGAAAATATCCATAGAATGGATTGGCCAGCATGCTTTCCTGATTTAAATCCCACTGAAAATATGTCAGATGCTGTATACCGAGATGCCTGGCAGAACGATCTTACTCTCCAGAGAACAGCTGACAACTGAAAGAGATGCTCCTTGAAGAATGAGTATTCTTACCCCTGGGACTGTTAGCGTCAAATGGTGCTACACCAAAAGCTTCCCTTTCACCTCCGGAAAAAGCTTTATTCACGATACACCAAATCAAAATCACGCGAACGATAAATTATTACACTGAAGGTTCAATTAGGGAACTATCAGCGAATTCTAACTTTTGAAGGTACCACGCTCTGCTGTTAAACATAGAAAATGCCGTGGTTCGCAAAACAAATATTTATTACTGAGATATGCAGAGATACACGCAGAGTTACATGCAGAGATAAGTAAGTACAAGCACTAGCAGCGATAATCCAATTCCAATTGCTTTCGCTCGCACTTGGTTTCAACTACACAGAGTTATTACCAAAAGTTCAGAGTTGCCAAAGGCCAATCACGGTAGTAAAATAAAAGAGATGTACTTTAGGTACATCTGTCACCCGGAGGCGTAAAAACTTTCAGAGCTTGGGACTGGCATTCCTGGTCGTGGTGGCAAATGTTGCATTCAAAAATAACAAAAGTCGTAATTATAAAACATAGAAAAAAGCTGAAAACTATTTACATAAATACAACTACCAAGACGGGTTGTGATGTATGTATGGTGCGGGGTCTTTTGACCACATATTCAACAGTAGGGTCATAGTCGCACAGGCTTCTAATAGAAGCGTAGGAAGAGGTTCTAAGGCTTTCAAAGAAATTATGTGAAGTGATCAAAATTTGTTCATGCATGGCCTTCACATTCAGATCCTCCTGAATTTGAGAGTTCCTCACAAACCACGGTGAGTTCACAATCGCTCTAAGTATTTTATTTTGTATTATGTCTAGTTTAGCACGCTCAGTCTTGTTGGCTGTCGCCCATGCTGGCACTGCGTATAACATAATCGGTCTGATTAAGGACAGATACAGTGTTCTTTTGATTTTTATCGATAAGTTAGACTTCCTGCCAATCAAGCTGTAAAGGGCACAGAACGCAGCATTCGCTTTTTCCGCTACGGCTGTAACATGGTATTTAAAGGTAAGCTTGCTATCTATAATAACTCCTAAATACTTATAGGAGTCAGCCATCGGAACTGTATCGTTTTTAATTTTGATATCCGTATTAACAATTACATTCTGCCTGTAGCGTCTGTAAAGCACAACGCAGCATTTACTAGAATTTAAATTGATTTTCCAATCCTCGCACCATTTCGTAACGATATTTACTATGAATTGCCAGTTTTTCCATTGCAAGAGGCGGGCTGACAGAATCCGTAAGTACGACCGTGTCGTCGGCGTATTTTAGAATCTTGGAATCCAAGGGAGGTCATTTATAAATAAATTATATATTGAAAAGACAGGGAGCGAGGACTGCTCCTTGCGGGATGCCACTGTAAATTATCTTTTTCATGGAAATTGAATTTCCACACTTTACTTGGAATGCTCTACGGTAAAGATATGAAATCATAAGTTGAATAAAGCTGACCGGGAGCAAGAAACTGATGAGCTTATGGATAAGTCCTGCGTTCCACACTCGATCGAATGCCTTTCTGAAATCGAGGAAGCACGCAGCGACTGCCTTCTTTTTTTGAAAGTTGCCTGCAATATATTCAACCAGATTTAAAATTTGATGCGTAGTGGAATGACTGCTTCGAAATCCAAATTGCGAACTGTCGATGAGGTCAAGTCTCTCAAGGTGATTGGTAAGTCTGATTTTTAGAACTCTTTCAAAAACCTTTCCCAAAGCAGGAAGCAGACTAATCGGCCTGTAACTAAGTTATTAATTTCGGGTCTTTACCCGGCTTCGGAATTGTAATGATGATGCTGTGCTTCCATTGCTGGGGAAAATATCTATGTCGTATGCAGGCATTAAAGATTTTCACGAGAAGCACAATACACTTTCTTGGGAGGGCCTTGAGGGCGTCATTACTGATTTCATCAAAACCTCTGGCCTTGCGAACTTTAAGATTTTTGATAATCTGTCGAACTTCTCTGGGGGTGGTGAGATCGAAGTAGTTAGATGGAGTGCTGCATTTAAGCGAGGTAACGGAGTATTGAATTTCTCTTTCATGCTCGGTATCCTCTTCTGGGTGGGGCTGGAAAACTTTACTTAATTCTTCTGCCATTAAAGTTCGCAATTTCAGTCTCAGAATGGTGTATGTTACCCATGTGATGAATTGGAGTAATGCTATTGGTCCTTGTGGTTCGAAGCGATTGGCGTGCGATTCTCCAGACCGTCCCTGGCTGCAAGTCAATATTTTCCAGCAAAGAATTCCATTTTTCAGAGCGGAAATCCTGAATTTCGCGTTTGATTTCCCTGTTAAGATAATTAACAAGTCTCTTATCTCTGGGGTTACGGGATAATTGCCACTGCTTTCTAATTGCGATTTCTCCGCTTAATAATGTCCTTAATTCTTGTCGGAAGGGCGAGATGACTTTCAGAATTCCTCGGCGAGGAAGCGTTTTTAATGGCATTCTGCATTTTGTGAGTAAAAAGGTAGATTTGATTTTCGA